AAAAAATATATTTTACTTAGAAAGTATATTTTTAAAATTAATATTTAAAGTTTTATTTAAAATTAAATATAAAGACAGGCAAATTTGCCTGCTAGACAATCTAAGGGATAATAGATTCTTAATTCTAAAGAGTTATAATAGCTAAATCATATGCATGTCTGAAGTGTGCTTACTAAAAATACTTCTTTTCATAGTATCTTGTACTATATTCTTTACTTCTCTATTCCTAGTTTAATACAATTGCATTGCATAGCTACTTATGATTAATTAGTACCCAAATACTACAATGTATATTTATTGAATATACAGATGTAAGACAAAGAGTTATATAATTTAGCATATGTATGCAATAATACACCTATCTAATCAACTAATCAGATTATAAAATTAGATATAATATGAAATTGAAAAAAAGAAATTTCCAAAAAATCACTTGTAGCCAAAATTTTGCTTATAAAACTACCTTTTATATTCTAACAAAAAAATTTCTTTCAAAATTTTGAATTAGAACATTTTGCTAAAATGCCTATTCCAACTCTAACTTAACTCTAATCTAACCCTCACTTTAACTCTATTAATTATTGTTTTGATCTCATGTTATACTAGAACTTATTAAATATTTTTATTTTTATTTTTTTGTTATGCATACCTACTAGAATAGTCTATACCTATTTTACAGATTTACCTAGTTTAGACTCTTGTAGATGTTTATACAACCCCAGTTTCTACTGTGGCTCTCTGCTAGTTTTCTGTATTCTATCTTCTTAGATGTTTCACAAAGCAAATCCTTCTAATTCAGTTAGTTGTCAAACTAAGTTAGTGTTACTGATCCTTCCTGTGAAACAGATTTATGCACACCTGACTTGATCTGCATCTTTTGACGATAGTTTCTTTTCTAGATTAAGTATTAGCTGATGTGACTGTTGAAAACCATACTACTTCACCAACTCAGGATTTCTACTATACAGGTCCTCTGTCTGTAGATCCTATCAAGATTTATTCATGTAACATTATGTTTCACCAAATGCTTTGTCACCCTTCTAATATCTAGATGATATTGGTATAATGTGATTTACAAGGTTACAATCCCAGAAACAGACAGGGTTTACTGTAAGTTGAATACAAAGGTCCAGGTAATTATTCAAATTCATTGACAGTGGGATTTGAACCCCAGACCTTTTGCATGGCAGTCTGGCAACCTAACCACTACACTAAGATCGCCAGACTAAATATTTTTATAAAAAGTATATTGGATGAATACTATATATGAAATAATTTTACATAATGTACCTAAATTTAAATTTCTAGACCCTACTAGAAGAGCCATTGTTCATAACGATAATTTTACTAAAATTATAGCGCTAGTAATATTCTTTTACTATAATTAATTTCAAATTTCTTGATCAATAATTCCTAATTAAAATTATAGTTACGAAATTTTTTGTTCAATACAGTTAACATTACCGTTATTGTTATTGTAAATTATTTCCCTATTTATTATCGTTATGTTAACGTCAACGTTAACGTTAACGTTAAAAGCAAATTACGCTAATTTATTAAAGAAACTAACGCTAATAATAATTTGTAAAAGATTATGAATATACTTTATTACGCGTTGCTTTAAAACTTTAATCATAAACTATACGACTTCTCACACTGATTGTCCCGTCTCACTCAATCTGTAATTACTTTTAAAATCAGAAACACAAAATCGATATTCCATTAATTGGAGGATAGCATTACGTAATTCTTCAGCTATTGGTTTTCGTGCAGTTTGTGAATTTTTATGACCGGGGTCAAAGTATATGCAATTCAACGGATGCTCAAACTCAGTTATTTCAGTTTTTATTTGTTTAGAAGGAGACCAATCGGATATAAATTTCTCCTCACACGTGCTTAGATTAGAAAATAAAGATAAAGATATGAGGAAAGCTGTAAATTTTGGGTAACGGGAGATCAAGGGAATAAGCATATCATCCCTGGCTAGAAAAATAATAACTGCCAAGCGTCCCATGATTATAAAAACGAGGACTAAGATAATTGGGGGAAAATAAGACGATCCAGTACCCATAAACGGAATGATGAAATTGTAACGAAGTTGTCAAGAAAACCAAGAGCAATTGAGCCATATAAATAGGTTTAGCAAAACTAGTACCGAAAGTATCAACCAAATTATTCGTGACAGCGAACTGCGCTAAGATTAAGGCGATTGTTTGTTGTCCTTTTGTTGCAAGATCAATAGTGATAAAAAGGTAAGTCATGAGCAATAAAACTGCTATTAGTATGTGAAATTGTGCTTCACGTAAAAAATGTAGGGATTTAAAAACTTTATAATACGAATAATACGAATCCATGTTGGTATTCGCGCAATTAAAATTGTTAGTCGAAAGTCCAACGTATATATGGTATGCGGTGTAATATTACACCAATGTAAACTCTTATTGAGCCGTTCCGAAAATATCGACCTCAATAAAAAATTATTTAACGTTAAATTTATATCGATATGCATATTGATTATGTGACCAAATTTCATATGACAGAATGAAAGTTATCTTTTTTGTAACTATTGATTTATAAAATAAGTAGTTGCGCAATGTCGCGCGAAACCAGGATGCTAAATACTAACGGCATTGCGGCATTACGGCATTACGGTTTACGGCATTCAGGTGCCTTGCCGTATATATTTACGGCATTACGACATTACGGTATTACGGCAGCAACTATAGTAAAAAGCCTCCAAATATTCAAATACTCTGTAAGCTGAATTGCCAGTACATAAATACCTAATTATTTAATTATTTTCACGTTTTTCGCCACTAAATACATACATTAAAAGCCCGAAGATTATTAATACTAGGCAAGGTCTTGAGCACAACGATGCTGGTTGGTTCACGTACTCTTTTATTTTCATTATCATCAATTTTTCGTATACCATATGTCTAAGTTGCAAAATATACAGAATCAAATTCTCTTTTTGCCAATTTTTTTATCATCAACTAATTTATCAAATGGAATCCATTCAATTGCATCTTTGTATTTATAAGTTTTAATAAACATCCTTGTTATACAAATCAAATCATGCAATTTATTGTTGAATCCACGAGAGTATAAGTATCTTGTTACTGAAAGAATTCTTATGAATACAAAATTTCAATCAAACTTGTACGTACAAATTAATGGTTTATAATAATTAGTGATCTAGTGAATATATAATTTTAGTATCGAATAAATCTTTCACCAATAGTTATCAATCTCGATGAGGTGATCCAATCTACAACTTGTAAAGCTCCCTTTCCCCGTGAAATATAAATTCGGTATAAAAATGGATTTTGTACAATTGTTTGCGTAATATTACGTAATTAACGCAATCACTTTTGTTAGAAGAATTTAATATAAAGTCATTATTTTTTTACAAGTTATCTAGATATGTATTATAAATAAATTCAATATCTACTGCTAAGAATTACGACTACTATAATATATATCTCTCAAACACTAAGTTTCGAATTTTTTTCTGTATTACAGGCAGCACAAATCTATATATAGTATAGACATTGTAATTGTCGACCAATACAAAAATTTCACAAACCCAAATCTCGGTTCCGTCCACATTCAGTTTACGAATAGATCATTTCACCGATATATTAGCTCGTCTTAAGACTTAAGGTTAGGGTTAGGTTAGTGTTAGCAGATTTTTATCGGTGAATGATTGTCAAGTTATTATGGCAAGTATATGGATATTGAATTTTAAATATTGGCAAGAATAAAAATAAATTTATCCCGTTTTAAAATTTTAATTATTACGCTTTGCAAACACTGCAGATCATTTGTCACATGAGAATCGGAGATTTTGCGATTTCAAAGAACCTTAAAGATTTTTTAAATATATGTAATATTTCTAATTAATATGAAATATACGTAATTATATTATATTATTTAGTATAGATTCTTTTCAAAACTTTTTGCAAAGCGCTATAATATCTAAAGTTTCAAATATCTTTTTAACAACTTTAAACCTTTTGATCTTTTAATCTTTCAATTTTTAACAGTTTGGAAACCTTTTATTTTTTAAAATTTGCTTTAACGACGTTTCTATGTTTTATCTAACCCATATTATGCACGGATATTATGAAATTTGAGATCCATAAATTTATATTATGTAGAAAAAAATATAAATATACAATTTTTTATTGTAATTTATATAATTATCAAGTTACATAAAGATGCTTAATTTTAATTTTTAACTTTACAGAAGGTTTGTAGAATACATAAATGAAATAGAGAAGTTTTAATTTTTTTTTTCTAGTAATTCATGAAAAAAAAAATTATTATGGATTATTGTTAACCATAAAAGTTGTTGGTTCTATGATGAATAAATAAAAGGAAATTTGGAGACTTGTTTATATTTAATTTTAAAAAGAATTTTTCCATATAATTTCTAAAACCTTGAGAGTCTTTAAATAATTCTAAATTTGATAAATTAGGAGCAGAATTTTTCATTTACGGACATGATTCTTCATTATCTTTGATGTTCCAACATTTCTTTAATCATTTGATTCAAGATCTTTGCTAGTTGCGTTGCTACTTTTGTTGGTATTTTGATTAGAATCGTTAGGATCAACAGAGTTTTTGGGTGAACTATATTTATTTGTCCAATTTTCATATGTAATATATAGAATCGTATTTCCTATTCCACTTGAGTTCGAAGTAACTACTGCTAAAGTGTAAATCCAAATATTATCGAACTAAAAAAAAAATAGAGATAAAATGGTGAGTTAGAAACTTCTATTTTATAAAGAAAATTATAACTTAAATATTTTATACATACTTTAACCATTTGAGATATGAAATAAATTACTACAGTAGACCATTCTATTAGGAAGATTAGGATATAAGCGATGATTTTTCTTACAACGATAATTTCAAGTCGACTAAGTTTATTAGAATTATTCGAATCAAATCTTTGATCATTATCATGATTTTTTTGAATCACAGGACAATAGCATTTTCAATTTCTTCTTCATCACCTAGAATGACCGTATGTCAACATTACGCGATAAATTTATCAGATATTAAGTCAATTAAGAAGAAAATTTTATTGATGCTTTATCTTAGCATAACCTATAGATTAAAAGATATAAATTCTTAAAATAAAAAAAATTGAATTAAATTACGGTAAATTAAATAGAAATTTGTTTTCTTTCATATAAGAATTCATTGATAACAATTTTCTTTCAATTATTCAGTTAAATTTTGACAAAACAAGCATTTGTATTACATATTACGATTGTTTTTTTTAACTCAGCAAAAAAAACATTAATTACGGAAGTACATAAAGGGAAAGATTATTCTTGATAGTAACCTACCCAATTCAGTCTAAATCTAGATTTTTTTTTTTTTCCTTAGTAAGAAATGGTGTAAGCAAAAATTCTTCAATAATGAAAAAATTTTTTAGTTAAATATATTACATAAAAAATTTTTTTTATTTAAAGTTTATTAAATAATATGCTAGGCCTATCGAGAAACTTATAATTATGAAGATCAGAAAAGTTTCGAATTATTAAACGTTGATAAGCCAAGTGCATATCGATATAGTAATTAACCAAATTTAAATGAGATTAGCTGGGAATTGCACTGAACCAATTATTGGGATTAAATGGCAAATCTTACCAAAACTTGTGTGAAATCAAAGGTGTATGTAGCCAAATTAAAGTAGGAAAATCTTATCTCTAAAGATTTCCCCGTTTCATTTGACGATATCTAATAGAAAAAAAAACTAAAATGATACGGGTGTACTTGAACATTTTAACTTTCCATCGATTATTAAATTTCTGTGTTTATTTCAATTATACCAAACCCAATTTATCTTTCCGCGCTCGTCTTTAGACCACTCACCTTATCCTTTGATTCCATATGAGTTCCGAATCAAATAGTTCGAGCGCGGACATCAAATTTCTTCCTGGTTATAATATTGTTATACCGTTTGGTCTAATTACTATAATTTTAAATGGCTGTTGTTTAATTTATCTTATTATGAGGGCGTTTATACGATGGAAAATAACTAATAGATCCTTATCGATGGTTCATAGAGTACCATTTTATATTGCATTTACCGGTATGCTATACATTCTCACATTTAATATGATAAATATATTTGAATTTCTTAGATATTTGTTAATATTCTTTTTTTTCATTTCTAAATAAATTAGAATTCAATTTATTTTTGGCCAATTTAACGAATCTTGTATGTATTCTTTAAGTTAATCCTTAAAATTTGAAGAGCTAATATTAACATACCTCTGATGACTTACATAAGTTATACACAGCCATTAATGGTCATACATTTCAAGGAG